CCATTTCATTATAAATCACCTCCCAGAAAGCCTTAATCCTTGGGCACGTCCACCAAAGGTGAAAGAATGTACCTTCAGTTTCCTTACATTTCCAACATTTATTATCGGGCAAATGATAGATTTTTGCAAGCTTGACTGGTGTCATGTACCACCTGTATATCATTTTCATAATATTCTCTCTTAGGGCATTACATGCCGTAAATTTCATACCTGTGGTCCACAACTGTTCCCAGTCAGCAAACATAATGTTATGTCCAACATCTTGTGCCCATTTAATCATAGCAGATTTCACCGTTTCATCCTGAGTATTCCATTTCAGCAGCAAGTTATACATCCTTGACAAAGTCTTAGTTTTAGGTTCTAACAGTTCTGTTTCTAATTTTGATTTTCCCCCAATGGAGTATAAATTCATGAGCGACAGTGGGTTTTCTTTGGGAAAACAGGTTGCAAACAAACTTTTCAACAAGAAATTTTGGTTCTTATTCTTCCACAGAAATGGAACAAAGAGTGCTGTTGTTTTTTTCTATTAACTTGAATACGGTCTAAAGTTATAGGCTGTATGCTGTTTAGGTTTAAGGTTACTTCCTTTTACACATTTTCCATGGATCAGACTTCTGTACACAAATTTCTGGAACTGAATCCTAATCCTGCATCCTCCGTGTGTTGCCTTTTCTTTCTTTTTGGAATAACTTTTTTTTGCTTTTAAAAACAAGGATCATAGGAACCACTAAATGATGAAATATGTAGACCGGGGTCAGCAATCTATGGCTCATGGGCCACAAGCGACTCATGGGGGTCATTTCAGCTGCCCCTGAGCCGTCCGTTCGGTGAGTCCTGTGTGTACACACGTGATCCTGCCCACAGAGCGATCTCCGTGAGAGTGAGCCAGCCCAGGCGAGGTAAAGCTTGCCGACCCTTGATGTAGACCGAGTCTTCTTCATGCCATTTGTATATCTCAAAAACTAGCAGAATCTATTTGCAGGGAATATCTATAAGCATACAATTCATCGTTAGTGGTCAGTGTGTGAGTTCTGGGTTCATGAAATGTTTTTAAACTGGAACAAAAAATGAGGAAACAGGAGAGAACAGAGAGCATTCAACATTGCATAGCTGAATGCCTAGTCAGGAAGCTCTTGCGGCTGTTGTGCTTAGATAAAGTGTGAGTTATAGTCACTTTTCCTCTTCTGTTACCAATGAAACAATACAGAGTTGGTTTCCTCATGAACACGGGAGGGGGGTTCAAACTGAAGAAAGTGATTTACGTATAAATTTAAATTTAGACCAATCAGATTGAGGCAACTGCTGATGGCGTGTAGTTTTCACAGACAAGGCATGGATCCTGTCCAAAGAGCTCTGCATAAGGAAGTAAAGGAGGAGAATCGTAGGATCATGGACCCTCTCAGTAAAACTCCCTGTTGGATCATAAAATCAGTTTTGAAATTCCATACATACCTCTGTCAGGGGTCAGCAACCTGCAGCCCATGGGGGTCATTTAAGTGGGCCACAAGCCACCCCCGAACCAAGCTGCCCGCTCAGCGAGTCCCCGCCTGCTGCACTAAACCAGTCCAGGGCGGGGACTCGCTTCCGTGGTGCCAGAAATCAGACGCAGACACATGAGCGATCCAGACCATGGCGGGATCTTCGCAGGGCTGAACCGACCCAGGCAAGGTAAACCTTCCTGAGCCCTGCTCTGTGTGATGAACCTTCGCTTTTTTGATGGAGATGAAAAGCTGAGCAGTTGGCTCCTTACTTCTCTCGCCCTGACCTAGCCACTGTGATCCACGCGACAGTCACCTCCAGGCTTGATTATTGTAACTCACTCTACGTGGGGATGCCCTTGAGACCGACCCAGAAACTCCAGCAGGTACAGAATGCCGTGGCAGGACTCTGTGGTGGGTCTGGAAGCCTTTCGCAAGAAATACCTCTGCTCACTCAGAGATATATTTACAGTCTTTATTTACATACATATTTACAAGGTACAGGACATAGCTTCATGCATTTGAATCCTCGGTAGCAGATCCAGGCAGTGGGAGCTTTTGGCTCCTCCTCCAGCAGAGGAGCTTGGGAAGCCCCAAGCGCCTCCTTTGTTCCCTACATTTTAACCCCCTTCTGTCCTGTGCTGAAGGAATGGGCATTGACTCTCTCTCTCTGTCCTCCCTCTGAACTGGTTGAGTGGTGTTGATGGTCTCCAGCATCCGGGAGCATCCTCGCCGCTTGAGTTCCTTCCGCTTACTTGTCCTCCTCTCCCTCTCCTGTCTTTTCTAACGGCTCTTGTTCTTCCCCCTCCCTCAGCTCTGGGGCATTCCCTGGCAGCCCCGTGACAGACTCCTTACGGGGTCCTCACAGCAGGATCACATTCACCCAGTGCTATACTAGCTGCACTAGCTCCCGCTGGAGTACAGGGTCAGGTTTAAGGGGCGGGTTTTAACCTTTAAAGCCCTATACGGCCTAGGACCCTCGTACCTACAGGACTGCCTCTCCTGGTATGTCCCACGGAGGACCTTACGGTCTTCAAACAAAAACATATTGGAGGTCCCGGGCCACAGGGAGGTTAGGCTGGCCTCAACCAGATTTAGCAGTGGCTCCAATCTGGTGGAATGCTCTGTCACAAGAGACTAGGGCCCTGCAGGACTTGACATCTTTCCTCAGGGCCTGCAAGACAGAGCTATTCCACCAGGCCTTTGGCCAGGGCACAGTCTGACCCCCTCTCTCCTTCTGTAATCTTCATAGAACTCTAACCTGGTGGTTGCTATTAATATGATTCTGAATTAATTCTAAAATGTATTTTAATTAATTGACTGTGTGATTTAATGATTTTTTTACCTGTTGTTAGCCGCTCTGACCGTGGCTTTGGTCGGGAAGGGCGGGATACAAATAAAAATTTATCATCATCATCATCATCTGGGATTCCAAGATCCTCACCGTGAATCCTGAATGGAGGGATATCAACTGTTTTCTCTGTGAATATTCTTCATTTCGTCAAGCTTTTTTAAGCAATGACCAGGCTTTTTTGAACTACCCAGGCCTTTTTAAATGTCATCTTCAGATTTTTTAGGGTAGTAGAAGTAAGTTCTGTCAGGTTTGTTGTTTTTGTTTTTGCTTTTGTCTGCATTTTATTGACCAAAGAGATGACTGACCTTGGAGATGAAGATAATTCCATGACTGAGCCAAACATTATCTATCCCAGATAAAAGCCAAGTAATATATCAGCAAATATCAGCCAACAAAGGTAGTAAAAATAATAGTAAGGCCTCATAACTAATTATTTTCAGTTCTTCCTCTATCACAAGTGTAGTGGGTATGAGTTACTCGTGCGTAAACTGGTGCCTCTCTAGGCTAATTTGCCTTGTAAACCTTTCTGACTGCACAGCCCCTTCTCATCGTGGCTACCTCAATCTCTGCCAGAATCCGTCAGTGGGTGTTTCTTGAACCTCTTCCAACATAAAAATTGTTTGACACCCAGTCTCCTCCTCCTCTCACTGCGCGGGAGCCTCCTGCGCAGGAGGGTGTGGGCAGCGGAGGACCTGGGCTCTCTTCACTGACGTCCAGTGAAGAATCCTGGAGCCCTCTCTCCGATTCCCCCATCTGCCCCCCTCTATCCCTGGTGTTCCGCTGATTAGCTTCCCCCTCTACTGGGCTGTTTCTCCCCCTGCTGCTGGGTCCATCTCCCGCATCATCAGAGAGCCTCCCCTTCGCCTCTCGCTCTGATGTCAGTTCCCTGACAACAAGCATTCATTAACATTCTTAATTACTGGCCTCAACAACATCAAAAATACCATCTCAGGACTACAGTGGTGCCTCGCAAGACGAAAAGAATCCGTTCTGTGATTCTCTTCATCTAGCGGTTTTTTCGTCTTGCGAAGCAAGCCCATTGAAGGATTAGCAGATTAGCGCTATTTGCGGCTTTTAGCGGCTTATCTGCTGATCGGATCAGCTGATAAGCGACTTAGCGGCTTAGAAATAGGGGGGGAGGGGAAAAAAGCAGGAACTCGCAAGACATTGTCGTCTTGCGAAGCAAGCCCATAGGAAATTCGTTTTGCGAATCACCTCCAAAACGGAAAACTCTTTCGTCTAGCGAGTTTTCCGTCTTGCGAGGCATCCGTCTTGCGGGGCACCACTGTATTTAATTGCTCATCTTCTAACATTATGTATGCCATCAAATGCCAACAGTGCCCTTCAGCTCTCTATATTGGACAAACAGGCCAAGCTCTACGCCAAAGGATAAATGGACATAAATCTGATATCAGGAATCACAAGACAGAGAAACCAGTAGAAGAACACTTCAGTCTCCCAGGACATTCCAAATAAGATCTCAAAGTAGCTGTCTTATTACAAAAGAATTTCAGAAATAGACTGGAAAAAGAAGTTGCTGAATTGCAACTTATTACCAAACTTAAAACCCTGGAGAGACCTGGTCTGAATAGAGACATTGGATTCTTATCTCATTATACATGGTATATGTAGCTATTTTTAGCCATCTCACCCCTTGCTTTTTCCTGTAAGAACAATTGCAGTCATTAACAGTCATCAACAGGTTTACCACACCTATCAGCCAATCACCCATTCCCACCACCCTTCTGAGTAATACCCCTCCCCACCCTCTCACTATATATAAGGGTCTGGTGACTTCTGTTTCAGTGTATCTGAAAAAGTGTGCATGCACACAAAAGCGCATACGAATAACAAACTTAGCTGGTCTCTAAGGTGCTACTGGAAGGAATTTTTTAATTCATTAACATCGTTCAATAATCTGGGGAATAATCTTCCTGAGGCTCTAATTGGCTTCTCTCTTCATTGCAGATAGTGATGAATTGGAAGGGAAGAACAAAGGGGATCACAAGAGAATCCACACAGCGGAGAAATCAAATAAATATTCAGGGTGTGGAGAGAACATCCGTCAGAGCTCCCAGTGCACCTCCCATCAAGGACACAGCTTCATTCGGAGGGATAGCCTTACTTCACACGAAAGAACTCACAGTGGAGAGAAATTGTATCAGTGCTTGGAATGTGGAAAGAGCTTCAGTCGGAAGGATTCTCTCATTTCCCATCAAAGAATTCATACAGGAGAGAAACCGTATCAGTGTTTGCAGTGTGGAAAGTGCTTCTGTCAGAGGAGCAATCTGACAACCCATCAAAGGATTCATACAGGGGAGACACCTTATAAGTGCTTGGAATGTGGAAAGAGATTCAGACAGAGCTCAGAGCTCACTTCCCATCACAGAATTCATACAGGGGAGAAACCCTATCAGTGCTTGGAATGTGGAAAGAGATTCAGACTGAGCTCAGAGCTCACTTCCCATCAAAGAATTCATACAGGGGAGAAGCCTTATCAGTGCTTGGAATGTGGAAAGACCTTCAGTCAGAGCAACAGTCTCACTTCCCATCAAATAAATCATACAGGGGAGAAACCCTATCAGTGCCTGGAATGTGGAAAGAGCTTCAGACAGAGGCACGGTCTCACTTACCATCAAAGAATTCATACAGGGGAGAAACCCTATCAGTGCTTGGAATGTGGAAAGAGCTTCAGTAACCGCCAAATTCTCACTTCCCATCGAAGAATTCATACAGGGGAGAAACCCTATCAGTGCTTGGAATGCGGAAAGAGCTTCAATTGGAGGACTAGTCTTACTTCCCATCAAAGAATTCATACAGGGGAGAAACCTTTTCAGTGCCATGAATGTGGAAAGAGCTTCATTCATAAGAATACTCTCACTTCCCATCAAAGAATTCATACAGGTCAGAAACCATATAAATGCTTCCAATGTGGAAAGAGCTTCAGTCACAGCCATGAACTCACCATCCATCAAAGGATGCATACAGGTGAGAAACCCTATCAGTGCCAGGAATGTGGAAAGAGCTTTCGTGAGACGGGAAAACTTGCTGCTCATCGAAGAATTCATACAGGGGAGAAACCCTATCAATGCTTGGAATGCGGAAAGAGCTTCTCCCAAAGGGCCCATCTCCTGAGCCATCAAAAAACTCATACAGGTCAGAAACCCTATCAGTGCCAGGAATGTGGAAATAGCTTTCGTGAGAGGGGTAAACTCATTTCCCATCAAAGAATTCATACTGGGGAGAAACCCTATCAGTGCTTGGAATGTGGAAAGAACTTCAGTCGGAGGGATAGTCTTACTTCCCATCAAAGAATTCATACTGGGGAGAAACCCTATCAGTGCTTGGAATGTGGAAAGAGCTTCAGTCAGAGCCACAGCCTCACTTCCCATCTAATAAGACATACAGGGGAGAAACCGTATCAGTGCCTGGAATGCGGAAAGAGCTTCAGATGGAAGGTTAGTTTCACCTCCCATCAACAATTTCATACAGCAGAGAAACCATAACTGTTAGAGGGGTGTTTTCCTCTGGTGGCAGATGACAGAAGACTGTCTCAACATAAAGATTTATGACAAAGCAACAAACAGCAAAGCTTGTGGGTGTTTTTCTGCAGGCAAAGTTCAAACTGCAACTTTTCCTTCCTAATCATGACCAGCAGTAACTAATCTGCCCAAAGCTCACAGAAACAGTTCTTAAAGGTACAAACATCCTTACTGTTTCTTTGAAGAATGACTCCCAACAGTAACAGTGCTTGGAATGTTTAAAGAACTAATAATAATAACAACAGATACAGGTAGGTAGCTGTGTTGGTCTGCCATGATCGAAATAAAACAAATTCTTCCAGTAGCACCTTAAAGGCCAACTAAGTTTGTTATTGGTATGAGCTTTCGTGTGCATGTACACTACTTCAGATACCAGGCATGAATAAACTTAGTTGGTCTTTAAGGTGCTACTGAAAGATTTTTTTAAAAAAATAATAATTTATTACTTGTACCCTGCCCATCTGGCTGGTGTCCCACAGCCACACTGGGCAGCTCCCAACAGAATATTGAAAACATGATAAAATATCAAGCAGAGTTGTTGCTTAGTCGTGTCTGACTCTTTGTGACCCCCTGGACCAGAGCACACCAGGCATTCCTGTCTTCCACTGCCTCCCACAGTTTGGTCAAACTCATGCTGGTAGCTTCGAGAACACTGTCCCACCATCTCATCCTCTGTTGTCCCCTTCTCCTTGTGCCCTCCATCTTTCCCAACATCAGGGTCTTTTCCAGGGAGTCTTTTCTTCTCATGAGGTGGCCAAAGTATTGGAGCCTCAGCTTCAGGATCTGTCCTTCCAGTCAGCACTCAGGGCTGATTTCCTTCAGAATGGATAAGTTTGATCTTCTTGCAGTCCATGGGACTCTCTAGAGTCTCTTCCAGCACCAGAATTCAAAAGCATCCATTCTTCAGCGATCAGCCTTCTTGATGGCCCAGCTCTCACTTCCATACATAAAACCATAGCTTTAACTATACGGACCTTTGTCAGCAAGGTGATGTCCCTGCTTTTTAAGATGCTGTCTAGGTGTCACGGTCCAGTCTATGGGCAACCAAAGTCCCGGCTGAGGATGTTGAGACTGGGGGCAAGATGGCAGGGTGGGAGCAGGAACGAGAGTCCAGAAGCCAGAGGTCCAAGGGTCAGGAAGCAGGGAGTCACGAAGTCAAGGGTCGGGAAGCAAGAAGCCAAACGCAGCAAGGCAGGAAACGTGTTGCTGTGGCAAAGAGCCAAAGGGAAATGCTGACCTTATATCCCTTCCTGGCTCTTGCCACCAGGTGCTGTGAGTTACTCACTTGTGCGGCTGCGCCTTGCCTCTTCAGAACAAACTTAGGAAAGCCCCAGTCCTGCAAAGTCATTCTGGTCACAGGGCCTGGCTCCTGCACGCACTCCTGGCACTAGGTTTGTCATTGCTTTTCTCCCAAGAAGCAGGTGTCATTTAATTTCGTGACTGCCGTCACCATCTGCAGTGATCATGGAACCCAAGGAAGTAAAATCTCTCACTGCCTCCATTTCTTCCCCTTCTATTTGCCAGTAGGTGATCGGCCCAGTGGCCATGATCTTCATTTTGTTGTTGTTGAGCTTCAGACCATATTTTGCACCCTCCTCTTTCTGCCATCAAGGTTGTGTCATCTGCATATCTGAGGTTGTTGATATTTCTTCCGGCAATCTTAATTCCGGCTTGGGATTCATCCAGTCCAGCCTGTCGCATGATGAATTCTGCATATAAATGAAATAAGCAGGGAGATAATATACAGCCTTGTTGTACTCCTTTCCCAATTTTGAACCAATCAATTGTTTTATATCCAGTTCTAACTGTAGCTTCTTTTCCCTCATAGAGATTTTTCAGGAGACAGATGAGGTGATCAGGCACTCCCATTTCTTTAAGAACTTGCCATAGTTTGCTGTGGTCAACACAGTCAAATCCTTTTGCTTAGTCAATGAAGCAGAAGTCGATGTTTTTCTGGAACTCTAGCTTTCTCCATAATCCAGTGCATGTTTGCAATTTGGTCTCCGGTTCCTCTGCCTCTTCTAAATCCAGCTTGCACTTCTGGGAGTTCTTGGTCCACATATTGCTTAAGCCTGCCTTGTAGAATTTGAAGCATAACCTTGCTAGCATGTGAAATGAGCGCAATTGTGCGGTAGTTGGAGCATTCTTTGACACATCCCTTCTTTGGAATTGGGATGTAGACTGACATTCTCCAATCCTCTGGCCACTGCTGAATTTTCCACACTTGCTGGCATATTGAGTGTAGCACCTTAACACTATAATATTTTAAAGTTTTAAATAGTTCATCGGGAATATCATCACCTCCACTGACCTTGTTATTAGTAGTGCTTTCTAAGGCCCATTTGACTTCACTCTCCAGGATGTCTGGCTCAAGGTCAGCAACCACACTACCTGGGGTGTACGAGACATCCATATCTTTCTGGAATAATTCCTCTGTGTATTCTTGCCCCCTCTTCTTGATGTCTTCTGCTTCTGTTAGGTCCTTACCACTTTGGTCCTTTATTTCCCCCATTTCCCTAACACAGGGGATGGGACTTCTTCCTCCCAGTTCCCTCCACGTAAACTTAGGGAATGGGATCTGTTCCTGCTCAGTGTCTGTCCCAGAGATTAAACGGAGCCAAGAACACTCAGAAGCAGTCATAAATCAAAGCTTCTCTGTTCAAGCTACTTGGCAGCTGCACAAACGTTCCAGGCAACCTACTTTCACTTTTAGGCACCCGCTGTACTCACAATCTATCTGCTTTTTCTCTTCCGTCTCTGAAGAGGCTTGCTTCACGGTGCCGGTTCCAGGAAACTCCAACCCGGACAAAAACAGCCCCCAGTCTTTCCTCTACTGACCCTGGGTCTGTGGCCCTGATCCCTGGGCCCATAACCAATGTTAGGCTCATCCTACACGAGTAGGACCTTGATAAAGATACATGCCTGCCTGGCATGCTGTCTCCCTCCTGGTTGATCGGGAGCTACAAAAGCTTTCTTCAGCCTGAACATCACAGCAACTGATGCCAAGAAGCATCAGCACACTTATGGAACAGCAGAGTATTAACAGTTCGTGTAACAGAACTCAGTAGCTCACCATTTTGGCTAATCTACTTTATTTACATATAATAGACTCGGAGCATTCTGACTTAGCTCCATCCTCTTTCTCATCAGACAGCAATGAGACGGAACAAAGGACAATAGTCCTACTTCATGGTACAAAGCAACATAAACATCCTGTCTCCATCACTTCCCACTCTGTGGAATGAAAACATACACCGTCATGTGATAGACAACAATCTCATGACTGCAGACATGGAGCAGGAATCCCAACAAAAAGTCTGCCTTGGATTCGTATCGAGATCATTCTGTCATTTTTGAGATTGCATCCCAGTACAGCTTTTGCACCTCTTTTGTTGGGCTTTTATGGAATTATTTTATGGGATTCTTGCCCGCAGTAGGAGATGCAATGGTCATCCGAACTGAATTCACCCGGTCTCGTCCATTTTAGTTCACTGATGCCCAGGATGTCAATATTTACCCTTTCCATCTCGTTTTTGACCACATCCAGCTTACCAAGGTTGATGGTTCTTACATTCTAGGTTCCTATGCAACATTTTTCTTTACAGCATTGGACTTTCCTTTCGCTTCCAGGCATATCCGCAACTGAGCGAGCTTTCGGCTTTGGCCCAGCCACTTCATCAGCTCTGACTCTACTTGTACTTGTCCTCTGCTCTTCCTCAGTAGCATGTTAGACGCCTTCCGACCTGAGGGGCTCATCTTCCAGCGCCATAACTTTTATATACTTATTGACTTTGTCCATGGAATTTTCTTGGCAGGGATACTGGAGTGGCTTGCCGGTTCCTGCTCCAGGTGGATCACTTTCAGTCAAAACTCTCCACTATGATCTGTCCATCTTGGGTAGCCCTGCACGGCATAGCTCATAGCTTCTCTGAGTTATTCAAGCCCCTTTGCCATGACAAGGCAGTGATCCGTGAAGAAGCATCAAGCATTAAATAGTTTATTTCCTTGACATCTGATGGGAGGGCGTTCCACAGGCCAGGGCCACTACTGAGAAGGCCCTCTGCCTGGTTCCATGTAGCTGCACTTCTCGCAGTGAGGGACCACCAGAGGGAAATGTACTAGGAGCCAATGTAGGTCTTTCAGGACCGGTCTTATATGGCGGCAACTCCCAGTCACCAGTCCAGCTGCCACATTTTGGATTAGTTATATTTTCCAGGTCACCTTCAAAGGTAGCCCCACGCAAAGCACATTGCAGTAGTCCAAGCGGCAGATAACCAGAGCATGCACCAATCTGGCGAGACAGTCTGCGGGCAGGTAGGGTCTCAGCCTGCATATCAGATGGAGCTGGTAAACAGCTGCCCTGGGCACAGAATTGACCTGCATCCCCATGGACAGCTGTGAGTCCAAAATGAATCCCAGGCTGTGCACCTAGTCCTTGAGGGGCAATTACCCCATTTAGGACCAGGGAGTCCCCCACACCTGCCTGCTCCCAGTCCCCCAAAACAATACTTCTGTCTTGGCAGGATTTAGCCTCAATCCATCCTCCAACCGTCTCCAGACACTCATACAGGACATTCACTGCCTTCACTGTTTCTGATGTAAAAGAGAGGTAGAGCTGGGTATTATCTGCATACTGATGAACACCCAGCCCAAATCCCCTGATGATCTCTCCCAGTGACTTCATATAGATGTTGAAAAGCATGGGGGAGAGGATGGAACCCTGAGGCAGCCACATTGCCACTTGGTAGGCTTGGCATTGAGCTGTAAACCGTGTCTGGTCCGATTCAGAATGAGTTTTACACCACTAGTGCTCTAGAGGTCTCAGCCATTCTTACATTGCCCTCAGCTCTGAGGAAAACCACAGGGCTGTCCGGGCTCCATTCAATCAGATAGGGCGCTTCAGAGCCAGACAGTCAACAGCCATGGTTATCTCCACATTCCAGTGGGCCACCAGGGAATCAGCTGAAAGGGTTGCTGTGCGTAAGAGAAACCCGATGGACAAGCAGCGGCAAGGACAGGTCCATCTGCTTCAACCAACCAAGTCTCTGTCATGGATGCCAAGTCAAGTCCTCCATCCACAATCAAGTCGTGGATGACTGCTGTCTTGTGAATCGTTGACCTGGCATTGCACAGCAGCACCTTCAGGTCATGTGGATCTCTCTTGTTGATTCCAGTATCCTTCCAGTCAAGACCAGACCCGGAGGCAGGGATAGTCTTCAAACAACGACTAAACCTGCCTCCTCAGAAAAGACATGGTCTGGTCTTAGTGTAACTCCTCCTCCTACATGTGATCACAGAGATCGGGTGTCCCAGTGCATCCTACCCCCCCCCCTGTGGAACCTGGCCCAGCCATTCTGTGGGTTGGTCCCCACTCCCAGGCTGTCCTGATCTTCTCCCCTTCAGTGCAAAAAACAAACTATACAATAAACCAATAAGACAGTAGAAACTAATTTTAATTACCGTATTTTTTGCTCTATGAGACTCACTTTTTCCCTCCTAAAAAGTAAGGGGAAATGTGTGTGCGTCTTATGGAGCAAATGCAGGCTGCGCAGCTATCCCAGAAGCCAGAACAGCAAGAGGGATCGCTGCTTTCACTGCCCAGCGATTCCTCTTGCTGTTCTGGCTTCTGGGATTCAGAATATTTTTTTTCTTGTTTTCCTCCTCCAAAAACTAGGTGCTTATTGTGGTCTGGTGTGTCTTATAGCGCGAAAAATATGGTAAACTATACCCCAGCCACAATTAAACGTTTATCCCACCCCCAACAGAGCAAAACCGGGGACGGGACGGGACGGGACACCAAAATTTTAAACACCACAGACTGAAAACTAGTTTAAAACGTTTAAAAACATTTTAGACATTTGCCCCAACCCTAGTTTGTTCCAGTGAGTTTGAGCTCTTCAGGACTCACAGCAGGGCAATGTCTCTCTGCCCTCCCAGGAGTCTCTTATGCGGAACATCAAATGGTCCATCAAATAATTCATGCCAGGGGAGGAAGCATATCAGTGTTTGGAAAGTGGAAGAAGTGTAGAGTTGGAAGTAAAAGTAAAAGGTAAAGGACCCCTGGATGTTTAAGTCATGTGGCCAGCATGACTAGACCACTACTGGAACACGGAGGACCGTGGCGAGTGCCAGAGCGCACGGAAAACACCGTTTACCTTTCCACTGCAGCGGTACCTATTTATCTACTTGCACTGGTGTTCTTTTGAACGACTAGGTTGGCAGGAGCTGGGACAGAGCAACGGGAGTTCACCCCATCATGGGGATTCGAACCGCCAACCTTCCGATCAGCAAGCCTAAGAGGCTCAGTGGTTTAGACCACAGCACCACCTGCGTCCCTACAACAGTTGCAAGTACCCTGGGGTCATCCAGTCCAACCCTCTGCAACACAGGAATCTCATTTCAAGCATCCCTGAGAGATGGCCATCCAACCTCTTCTCAAAAACCGCCATTGAAGGAGAGACCACAAACTCCAGAAGGAACCAGTATTTTCCAGTTTCTGCCCTCAAAGACTTTAGCCATGACCTTCTGCCCCATTGCCATAAGCATCTTTAGCTCCCTAGTTTCTGTGGCAACACTTTGGCCCAAGTTTCCATTATAACATGCATACGTTGGAGAAAATAACAATTTCATAAAACTGCATTTGGATTATTCTGTTTTCTTTTTAGCCTGTTGCCTTGCTAAACTGAAAAAGCCTGTGCCTGCCTACTTTTTACGTTACAGAACCAGCTGCTTTTAGGTCCTGTACATAGCAAATGTCAGTTCTGGAATTCTGAAAAGAATAAAGTGTTGGACTCTATGGGGACTGTTGAATGTTATATGTAATCACATGATATATTATGAGGAGGGTTGATCTGAAGAGCCAAATGATTATTGTGACATTGGGTTGCAACTATTAAGATTGCTGTGATTCTGTGATTGGTTAATAGGAATGACATGTGCAATTTGGAAGTGTATTTTTAAAAAAAACCATTGTTTTGGATGTGGTTCTTTGCATGAACATTTGTTTTTCAATAAAGGCCTATCTTTCCACCTGGAGATTGCATCCTTTTCTTTTGGGTTTTTATGCGTGGGTAATCTCTTTTTGAATTTCTCCTACATATATATTTGAAATGACTGGATTTTAAAAATAAACAAATCTGAATGTGACTTATAATGAGACTGAAACACTAACATTATTGCTAGAAACAACTCTTGAAAACAATCAAAAAATGAATCAGAAATAATTTTTAAAACAGAATTTTTTCTTACCCTGAAGTTCAGTTTACAGAGACAGGCCCATAAGTTGCTCCCCATGTCAATGTATAAACCAACAGCTGCCTCCACTGGAGGCAACAAATGCTGCAGTGCACTGAAGCGGAGGAAGGTAGAGGAGGGTGGAATGTCGCCCCCCCATCTGTAAACTGAAATTCATGGTAAGAAAAACTTTTGTTTAAATAACTAGCTCATTAGCTAAAGTGGTGCTTCAGGTTAAGAACAGTTTCAGAACGAATTAAATTCTTAACCTGATGTACCACTGTAAAGAGATGAAGGATAAAGAGATGAGCCCTTTCATAAATTTGGTTTTGGCAACTGCAAAACAACATACAAGATCCTGGTTTTCCCCTGAGATATGACACTTGAAAATCGGTTGTATTATATTTAGAAATGATTTTGGCCACGTAGTAAACAACAGTATTTTTCTTTTCAAATTTAATGTGTAGGAAATCTCCATCATTTATATAGAAATGGGGTCAAATGGTATAAACTGGTTTTCTGACAGGAAAGGCAGGGAAGGGATGGAGTTGGGAGGGGGGAAAGAGTTCCAGAGTGGGGGGGGCTGCCCCCTGAGCAGCATGTGCCCCTCTCCCTCCCTCCCCAATAGTGGGCTTCGCCTTTCCTGCCTGTGGTGCTTTTACGGGGGGGGGGGGGGGCTTCCACACCTCCCCCCCCAGGATGGGACACTTCCTCATCTGTCTCTCTTCCTGGGCTGCAGAAGCAGGAAAGTCCACTTGGCGGGGGGGGAGGAGATTATTTTCGGAGGGGGAGGGATCTCCTGGCTGGGAAGCCCCCCCCCGTCCATTCTTCCCCCCACTCGCTGATCGGGAGGGTGTTTTGTTTTTTTGAGGGGTGTCTAGATGGAGCCATTTCTTAGCCTCTTCTCCCTCCCAGCCTTTCCTTGGGATTCAGGAGCCTCTATATTGGAGGAGGGGGAGAGCCAAGGTAACCCCCCTCATTGCCATCCCCGTCTTTGGCACGGGGGGGAGGGGGCAGTTCCGTGAGCGCAGAAGTAGGAAAACAGCAGGTAGGGGGAGGGAGGGGTGCCCTCGGCTTTGCAAGGGTTAAAAGGAGCAAAGCTGGATTTCTATAGAGGGCGGGCAGTGAAGCGGGAGGGGGGGTCAAGGTCCTCCATGCCAAAATCCTTCCCTCCCACATCCCTTCCTGCAAGCAGAGAGGAGGTTGCTTTGTTTTCTCTCCTTTGCAAAATCTTCCTCGGTGAGTCTCCTCTCTTTCCCCTCAGGGGTCCCAGGGGTGCAGGGAGGGGGCATGGGGGTCCCTATTCAGATCATTCCTGATGGGGGGAGACCCCCAAGTCAGAAAGCAGAGGGTCCTCTTTGTCCTCTCTGCCAAGCCAGGGAGGGGGCGAGTTCTCAGGAGGTCTGCAGCTCTGTTCTTCCTTGGGATAAAGATGCTGCCTTCCTTTTGGGGGAGGGGGCTTTGAGCACAGAGAGAAGAAAAGCCCTTCTGCATCTGCAGCAGCAAAACCAGACCACTTCTTCTGTCCCAGATGCAACAACACATGTCTCTCTCCTGTCGCTCTCCACACCCACGGCTGGCGCTGTTACCTTCCAACAGCTGGATCTCACTCCCAAAGGCACTCTCTTCCATGGTCTCTCACGACAGATGGAGGCCAACTAACCAACCATTCCCCCCCTCACAATGCACAATGGGGCTTTCCCTCTCCTCCCCCTCCTGGTGCCCCCTGAAGTTGGCTTGAGGAGGTTGGGGGGGGGGGAGTCCACCACACCAGATGCTGAGAGAGGAGGTCCTTCCATCTGGAAAATGGGAACACTTTGAAGAATTATGTGAAGATGAGTGCCGTATAATCATAATCATAAAATTATTACAGTGTGGAATTCCCCCATTTACACAAAGATTAATTGTTGTTTAGTCGTGCCTGACTCTTTGTGACCCCCTGGACCAGAGCACGCCAGGCACTCCTGTCTTCCACTGCCTCCCGCAGTTTGGTCAGACTCATGTTTGTAGCTTCGAGAACACTATCCAACCATCTCGTCCTCTGCCGTCCCCTTCTCCTTGTGCCCTCCATCTTTCCCAACATCAAGGTCTTTTCCAGGGAGTCTTCTCTTCTCATGAGGTGGCCAAAGTATTGGAGCCTCAGCTTCAGGATCTGTCCTTCCAGTGAGCACTCAGGGCTGATTTCCTTAAGAATGGATAGGTTGGATCTTCTTGCAGTCCATGGGACTCTCAAGAGTCTCCTCCAGCACCAGAATTCAAAAGCATCAATTCTTCGGCAATCAGCCTTTTTTTATGGTCCAGCTCTCACAAAGATTAATACCCATCATTAAAATTGTTCCATTAAAATGTTGAAATAAGCATGCAGGAAAAGAATAGAATTAAAACAGCGCAGCTATTAAGAGGCAGAAAAGAACAGAGCAATGTGTAGAAGATCATCTTCATTCTCCCTTTCTCTCTTAGGGTCCAGTGTGTTTTGAAGACGTAGCTTTTCATTTCACACACAAAGACTGGGCGTTGCTGGATCCTGACCAGAGAGCTCTGCAGGAGGAAGTCAAGGGGGTGAAGTGTGGGATCCTGGACTCTCTGGTAAGGCTCCCTGCTGGATCATCAGATCAGTTCTTAAATTCCATACAGATCTCTGCAGGACAAACCTCTGCAATTTTGAGGGAGCCCAATAGCGCCAGCTACAGCGTCTGAGATTTTAACATACCCACAACTCTTCTTGAATGGAAAACTATCAATGTGTGTGTGTGGGGGGGTATCTCTTGTTTTATCTGGGAATATTCTTCTACCAAAACTTTGTAAAAGCATTGCAGGAGATCCTGGGGACCCTACCAGGCCCCGATAACTCAGACACCCCAGGGTCCTTGTACTTGAGGAATCTGGAAAATGACCTCATTGACAGAACTGAAAAGAATTTATTACACTCCTTCTGTGCTCTGCCACAAGATGCCCAGAATGAAATACTCTCCAGATTTGACCTCTTACGTTCCTGACTGATAAGTCTGAAGAAGGAGCAAAGGCCTCATGCAAGCAAATCTTGACCCTTTGTGCTCCAGATCCAGTCCACTAGATATAACACCGTGAGTTAAATTATCGCTTTCGGGGAATAACCAAAGCTTAGAAGCTGGAAACTCCAAGGCCATAAACTAGAACAAGTCTTAAACTATAAGTACTTAGGAATGGTGGTCCAGGCTTCAGGATCCAATAAACTACATGTAAATTCAGGAGCTCGGGGGGGGGGGACAGCAAATTGTATCCTCAAATCTTCCCCAAAGATTTGGTCCCCATGCAACCCCTGACAGAGGCGGGATATAAATAATAAATTATTATTATTATTATTATTAAATACGGGCACAACATCTGCCTGGCTTGCAATGAGAGGCTTCTAAAGTGTGTCAACGGTGCTCTCCATACAAAGCACCTAGCATGGGGGCACCTACATGTAATATCTACTCTGCTCTTTTCTGCCCATGCTCTGGGGTTGCAGGTTTCAGGCTTGGGGACAGGACGGTGACTGGTTTTTGTACCAAGTTCTGTCAGTTATCCCCACTGTGTTCAATGGGATCTACTCTGAGGTCACTACTGTGCAGACCATGCCAGCCTTACGAAGTGGAGTGAGGAGCAAACAGAGGAAATGGGAATCACTGGAGATGTTTAGAAATGGGGCTTCTGTTGGGAAGGGGCTGCCCCATTTGTGCTTCTCCAGGGGCAGGGGAATATCTAGGCAGGAGAATCCCTGCAGGGCCTCTGAGGCTCCCTTTGCTTCTTCCTCTCTCCCAGGACCCTGCAGCTTGTTTTGGCGTCTTGACTCCTCAGGAAGGATGAAAGAGACGGATCCTGCAAAGCTAGCGAGGATGGAAGGGGGAAGATGGACGGTTGACCTGGTCAGGTTGTCTCCTGCTTCCCTCCTCACAGCCTCAGAGCATTCCCTTCCAGGGACCTCCGAGAGATCTGGTAAGTCCCAGGGGAGTGAAAATGGGGACCTGGATGGAGGGAGCCAGAGAGGTATCAGGGCTTGCTCAGCTTGGGGGTCGGGGGAGGCAGGCAGGCAGGCAGATGGAGATGGAGAAGGAAAGCAGTTTATTGGGCTCCTCCACCTGCCTGCCTGCCTGCGCCTTTGTAATCTGCAGGCGTTTTGAGCTAGGAAAACAGTCGTATAGTCCATGGATCAGGCTTATCCACACACATCTCTGGAACCGAATCCTGATCCTGCGTCCTCCGTGTGTTGCCTTTTTATTTTCTTTTTGGAATAACTTTTATTTGCTTTTAAAAACAAGGATCATAGGACCACTAAACGATGCAAATATGTAGACCACGGGTCGGCAATCTATGTCCCATGGGCCGCAAGCGGCTCACAGGGGTCATTTAACTGAGCTGCCCCCAAACCGAGCCGTCCGTTCGGTGAGTCCTGTGTGTACACACTTGATCCTGCCCAAAGAGCGATCTCCGTGAGAGTGAACCAGCCCAGGCGAGGTAAAGCTTGCCGACCCCTGATGTAGACCGGGTCTTCTCATGTCATTTGTATATCTCAAAACTAGCAGAATCTATTTGCAGGAATATCTATAACATACAATTCAACGTTAGTGGTCAGTGTGTGAGTTCTGTGTTCATGAAATGTTTTAAACTGGAACAAAAAATGGGGAAACAGGAGGGAACAGAGAGCATTCAACATTGCATAGCTGAATGCCTAGTCAGGAGTTCTTGCGGCTGTTGTGTTTAGATTAAATGTGATTAATAGTATTTTTTCCTCTTCTGTTACCAATGAAATTATACGGAGTTGGTCTCCTCATGAACACAGGACAGGGGTTCAAACTGAAGAAAGTGATTTATTTATAAATTTAAATTTAGACCAATCAGATTGAGGCAACTGCTGATGGGGTGTAGGTTTCACAGACAAGGCATGGATGTTAATGGATCCTGACCAAAGAGTTCTGCCTAAGGAAGTAAAGGAGGAGAATCCTGGGATCATGGACAGTCTGACCCCTTCTCTCCTTCTGTAATCTTCATAGAACTCTAACCCAATGGTTGCCATTAATTTCATTCTGAATTGATTCTAGAATGTATTTTAATTACCGTATTTTTTGCTCCATAAGACGCAGTTTTTTCTTCCTAAAAAGTAAGGGGAAATGTCTGTGTGTCTTATGGGGCGAATGCGTGGTCCTTGGAGCCGAATTGCCCAGGGGCAAAACGCAGATCATGCTTTTCCCCCCTTTTTTTTGAAAGAGGGAAGTGGGTGTTGAAACAAAGCCGCTGATCGGCAAGCAATCGGGAGCGAGATAAGGGATGCTAGCAATAAAGAAGGCTGCCCAGGAGGAGGGAGGTAAAGACAGCAAACTTGCAAGGAGACAGGAAGACTAAAGCAATGAGGAGAGTAATTAGAAGAAAGGGAGGAGCAAAGAACTGCTCCAGCTAAGGAAAAGACACTAAGGCAACAAGAGGGAAGGGAGTGTTGAAAGGAAGCAGCTGATCGGTAAGGGGTCAGGAGGGAGATAAGGGATGCTAGCGATAAAGTAGGCTGCCTGGGAGGGGGGAGGTAAAAGTCTATGGATCCTCAGGATTTTTATATTGGGTCAACCCAAATTCACCATCAGATTACATAGCATGTCCATGGCTACAGCCTGAACCAAAAAAATCACTGTTTCGTGGGGCCACAATGGTGCAAAAACGTGGTTACATAGCACAGAGCCGCATGGATCCTCAGGATTTTTGCACTGGGCTTCCGCCACAGAATCCAAACGGATGTGACCAGAAAACACCATCGCTTACAACAAAATCTAAACCATGCTGAAAGGAGAGCCATAGATAATCTCAGGAACAACCCAGACATTATAACTAAAGAGGCGGACAAGGGTGGAGCTGTCGTCGTCATCATGAACAAAACTGATTACATCCAGGAGGCTCACAGACAACTTTCTAATACCGCCTTTTACATAAAATTGGACTCAGACCCCACAAAATAATATAACAAAGTACTGAACAAGATTGTTAAGGAACTACCTCCACACATGCAAGAACAGATCCTCACAAACACACCAGCAGAACCTCAACCAGGAACTTTCTATCTTCTACCTAAAATACACAAACCAGGAAATCCAGGACGCCCCATCATCTCAGGTATTGGCACTATTACTGTGGGTGTTTCCGATTATATGGACTCTGTCCTGAAACCATATGCCATCAGTGATCCCAGCTACGTATGTGACACCACAGATTTGAATAATCTTCCTAACAATACTATAGTAGCCACTATGGATGTGGAATCTCTGTATACTAACATCCCACACAACGATGGTTTACAAGCTATAAGGAACACCATTTCAGATAAAATAACAGCGGACTTTGCTACCCAACTCTGCCATTTGGTCCTTACCCACAGCAACTTCAAATTTGGTGACGACCTGTTCCTCCAGATCAGCGGCACAGCAATGGGCCCCCGCATGGCCCCACAGTATGCCAACATCTTCATGGCAAATTTCTAACAACATTTCCTAAACTCCTATCCACTTAAATCTCTCTTGTGCCTGTGATACATACCATCTCAGGACTATTTAATTGCTCTTCTTCTAACATTGTGTATGCCATCAAATGCCAACAGTGCCCTTCAGCTCTCTGTATTGGACAAACAGGCCAAACCCAACACAAAAGGATAAATGGACATAAATCTGATATCAGGAATCACAAGATAGAGAAACTAGTAGGAGAACACTTCAATCTCCCAGGACATTCTATGCAAGATCTCAAAGTAGCTGTCTTATTAGAAAAGAATTTCAGAAATAGACTGGAAAGAGAAGTTGCTGAATTGCAACTTATTACCAAACTTAAAACCCTGGAGAGACCTGGTCTGAATAGAGACATTGGATTCTTGTCTCATTATACATGGTATATGTAGCTATTTTTAGCCATCTCACCCCTTGCTTTTTTCTGTAAGACCAATTGCAGTCATTAACAGTCATCAACAGGTTTACCACACCTATCAGCCAATCACCCATTCCCACCACCCTTATGAGAAATACCTCTCCCCACCCTCTCACCATATATAAGGCTCTGGTGACTTCTGTTTCAGTGTGTCTGAAGAAGTGTGCATGACACAAAAGCTCATACTAACAACAAACTTAATTGGTCTCTAAGGTGCTACTGGAAGGAATTTTTTAATTCATTAACATTGTTCATTAATCTGGTGCTTCATTTCTTCCTGAGGCTCTAATTAGCTTCTCTCTTCATTGCAGATGGTGATCAATTGGAGGGGAAGAACAAAGGGGAGCACAACAGAATCCACATAGCGGAGGAGCCAAATCAATATTCAGGGTATGGAGAGAACATCCGTCAGAGCTCCCAGTCCGCCTCCTATCAAGGACACAGCTTCATTTGGAAGCATAGCCTTACTTCACACGAAAGAACTCACAGTGGTGAGAAATTGCATCAGTGCTTGGAATGTGGAAAGGGCTTCAGTCGGAAGGATGCTCTCACTTCCCATCGAAGAATTCATACAGGGGAGAAACCCTATCAATGCTTGGAATGTAGAAAGAGCTTCAGTCGGAAGGATACTCTCACTTCCCATCACAGAATTCATACAGGGGAGAAACCCTATCAGTGCTTGGAATGCGGAAAGAAATTCAGACTGAGCTCACAGCTCACATCCCATCAAAGAATTCATATAGGTCAGAAACCATATAAATGCTTCGAATGTGGAAAGAGCTTTAGTCGAAGCAACTCTCTCACGTTCCATCAAAGAATTCATACAGGGGAAAAACACTATCAGTGCTTGGAATGTGGAAAGAGCTTTAGTGAGAGTGGAAAACTCACTTCCCATCGAAGAATTCATACAGGGGAGACACCCTATCAGTGTTTGCAATGCAGAAAGTGCTTCAGTCGGAGGAGAAACCTCACTTCCCATCAAAGAATTCATACAGGGGAAAAACCTTTTCAGTGCTATGAGTGTGGAAAGAGCTTCACTCAGAGGGCCAATCTCACTTCCCATCAAAGAATTCATACAGGTCAGAAACCATATAAATGCTTCGAATGTGGAAAGAGCTTTAGTCGGAGCAACTCTCTCACTTCCCATCAAAGAATTCATACAGGTGAGAAACCCTATCAGTGCCAGGAATGTGGAAAGAGCTTTCGTGAGGGGGGAAAACTCGCTTCTCATCGAAGAATTCATACAGGTGAGAAACACTATCAATGTTTGGAATGTGGAAAGAGCTTTCGTGAGGGGGGAAAACTCACTTCTCATCGAAGAATTCATACAGGTGAGAAACCCTATCAATGCTTCGAATGTGGAAAGAGCTTTCATGAGGGGGGAAAACTCACTTCTCATCGAAGAATTCATACAGGTGAGAAACCCTATCAATGCTTGGAATGTGGAAAGAGCTTTCGTGAGGGGGGAAAACTCGCTTCTCATCGAAGAATTCATACAGGTGAGAAACCCTATCAATGTTTGGAATGTGGAAAGAGCTTTCGTGAGAGGGGGAAACTCGCTTCTCATCGAAGAATTCATACAGGGGAGAAACCCTTTCAATGCTTGGAATGTAGAAAGAGCTTCAGTCGGAGGGATAGTCTTACTTCCCATCAAAGAATTCATACAGGGGAGAAACTCTAACAGTGCTTGCAATGTTTAAAGAAGAAACAACAATAACAACAGATATAGGTAGGTAGCCATGTTGATCTGCCATAATCGAAACGAAATAAAAAAGTTTGCTATTGGTATGAGCTTTCGTGTGCATGTACACTACTTCAGATACCATGCATGAATAAACTTAGTTGGTCTTTAAGGTGCTACTGGAAGAATTTTTTTTTTAAATAATTTATTACTTGTACCCTCCCCATCTGGCTGGTGTTCCACAGATACGCTGGGTAGCTCCCAACAGAATATTGAAAACATGATAAAACATCAAGCGTTGTTGTTGTTTAGTCGTGTCCAACTCTTCGTGACCCCCTGAACCAGAGCACGCCAGGCACTCCTGTCTTCCACTGCCTCCCGCAGTTTGCTCAAACTCATGTTTGTAGCTTTGAGAACACTGTCCAACCATCTCATCCTCTGTCGTCCCCTTCTCCTTGTGCCTGCAATCTTTCCCAACATCAGGGTCTTTTGCAGGCAGTCTTCTCTTCTCATGAGGTGGCCCAAGTACTGGAGCCTCAGCTTCACGATCTGACCTTCCAATGAGCACTCAGGGCTGATTTCCTTCAGAATGGAGAGGTTTGATCTTCTTGCAGTAGAATTGTAGAGTTGCAAGTAAAATAAAAGGTAAAGGACCTCTGGACGTTTAAGTCAAAGGAGACTGTGTTACAGCGCTCATCTCGCTTTCAGGCTGAGGGAGCTGTCGTTTGTCCACAGACAGCTTTCCGAGTCATGTGGACAGCATGACTAAACCACTACTGGCACACGGAGGACCGTGACGAGTGCCAGAGCGCACAGAAACACCGTTTACCTTCCCACTGCTGTGGTACCTATTTATCTACTTGCACTGGTGTGCTTTCGAATGGCTAGGTTGGCAGGAGCTGGGACAGAGCAATGGGAGCTCATCCCATCGTGGGGATTTGAACCGCCGACCTTCCGATCAGCAAGCCCAAGAGGCTCAGTGGTTTAGACCACAGGGCCACCCGCGTCCCTACAAGAGTTGCAAGTACCCTGGGGTCATCCAGTCCAACCCTCTGCAACACAGGAATCTCATTTCAAGCATCCATGAGAGATGGCCATCCACCCTCTTCTCAAAAATCGCCAGTGAAGGAGAGACCACAAACTCCAGAGGGAGACCAGTCCACTGTCAAACAACTCTAATTACCAGGAAGATGAGCCCTTTGATAAATTTGGTTTTGGCAACTGCAAAACAACATACAAGATCCTGGTTTTTCCCTGAGATATGACACTTGAAAATCGGCTGTATTATATTCAGAAATGATTTTGGCCACGTAGAAGAAGAGTTTGGATTTGATATCCCGCTTTATCATTACCCGAAGGAGTCTCAAAGCGACTAACATTCTCCCTTCCCTTCCTCCCCCACAACACTCTGTGAGGTGAGTGAGGCTGAGAGATTTCAGAGAAGTGTGACTAGCCCAAGGTCACCAAGCTGCTGCATGTGGAAGAGCGGAGAGACGAACCCGGTTCCCCAGATTACGAGTCTATCGCTCTTAACCAGTACACCACAGTGGCTCTTGTAGTAAACAACATTTTTCTTTCCAAATTTAATGAGTAGGAGATCTCCAACATTTATATTTTCAGGATTGGGAACATCAAAAATTGTACACTAGCAGGGCACTTCTATATGTATCAATGTGCCCCATGTCTTAGTGTATCAAAATGCCCGAAACAGACATTTTCAAAAAATTAACATTTATTAATAAAACCACTGAATTTATTTAAAAATCATGTGTAATCCTGATTACTGAGTAGAATAACTTAGAATCATAGAATCATAGAGTTGGAAGAGACCACAAGGGCCATCGAGTCCAACCCCCTGCCAAGCAGGAAACACCATCAGAGCACTCCTGACATATGGTTGTCAAGCCTCTGTTTAAAGACCTCCAAAGAAGGAGACTCCACCACACTCCTTGGCAGTCAAACAGCTCTTACTGTCAGGAAGTTCTTCCTAATGTTTAGGTGGAATTTTCTTTCTTGTAGTTTGGATCCATTGCTCCATGTCCGCTTCTCTGGAGCAGCAGAAAACAACCTTTCTCCCTCCTCTATGTGACATCCTTTTATATATTTGAACATGGCTATCATATCACCCCTTAACCTCCTCTTCTCCAGGCTAAACATGCCCATCCCCCTTAGCCGTTCCTCATACGGCATCGTTTCCAGGCCTTTGACCATTTTGGTTGCCCTCCTCTGGACACGTTCCAGTTTGTCAGTGTTCTTCTTGAACTGTGGTGCCCAGAACAGGACACAGTACTCTAGGTGAGGTCTGACCAGAGCAGAATACAGTGGCCTATTTTTTATATATATTTATTATATATAAGTCTTTAAATTTCTTCCATTCTTCTTCCACCGACTCTTCTCCCTGGTCTCGGATTCTGCCAGTCATTTCTGCCAATTCCATGTAGTCCATCATCTTCATCTGCCATTCTTCCAAAGTGGGTAGATCTTGTGTCTTCCAATACTTTGCAATGAGTATTCTTGCTGCTGTTGTAGCATACATAAAAAAAATTCTGTCCTTCTTTGGCACCAATTGGCCGACAATGCCCAGACGAAAGGCCTCTGGTTTCTTCAAGAAAGTATATTTGAATACCTTTTTCAGTTCATTATATATCATTTCCCAGAAAGCCTTAATCCTTGGGCACGTCCACCAAAGGTGAAAGAATGTACCATCAGTTTCTTTACATTTCCAGCATTTATTATCGGGCAAATGATAGATTTTTGCAAGCTTGAGTGGGGTCATGTACCACCTGTATATCATTTTCATAATATTCTCTCTTAGGGCATTACATGCCGTAAACTTCATACCTGTGGTCCATAACTGTCCCCAGTCAGCCATCATTATGTTATGTCCAACATCTTGTGCCCATTTAATCATAGCAGATTTCACCGTTTCATCCTGAGTATTCCATTTCAACAGCAAGTTATACATTCTTGACAAATTCTTAGTTTTGGGTTCTAAGAGTTCTGTTTCTAATTTTGATTTTTCCACCTGGAAGCCAATTTTCTTATCCAAATTATATGCCTCCATTATCTGATAATAATGAAGCCAATCTCTCACTTTGTTTTTTAATTTCTCGAAACTCTGCAATTTCAATTTGTCTCCTTCTTGTTCCAAAATTTCCCAATATTTCGGCCATTTGGCCTCCATATTGAGCCTTTTCAGAGCTTTCGCTTCCATCGGTGACAGAATACAGTGGCACTATTACTTCCCTTGATCTAGATGCTATACTCCTATTGATGCAGCCCAGAATTGCATTGGCTTTTTTAGCTGCCGCGTCACATAGCTGCCGCATTTTTAGCTGCCACGTCACACTTACATTTGGTCTTTTTAAATTTTAAGCATTTAAAACAGCGTTGGAGCACTTTTACATTTCTCATAATTTTTCATTTGGCTGCACTATAAACACACCTACTCTTGTCAAATGCCAGCAGCTAACTGGTGGGCAGCGTGGTCACAACTGTTGTATTCACAGATGTATAGACACGTTTCTCAAAACTGAAATATTGTTGGTGTATCAATGTGCCCCTTACATCAATGTGCCCCCTCTCCCCTACATGCCAGAGAGGCTGCTTCCCTGGGCAAGGAAGGAGCAGGAATCACTAAAGGGGAGGATCTGTATGTGATCCCATCTCTAGAGCTCACATAAACACCAGAGGGAAGGTGGCCGGGGTGTAAAAGGCAAAAGCATTGGCCTCGAATGCAGGCCTCAGGGACGCTTCTCCCCGTTCCCCCCATAGAGACCTGGGACCCCTTCTCCAGGAGGGACCTCTGAGGAGGAGGAAGCCAGGGCGGATCAGTCCCTAGACGTTGGAGGCAATGCCTGGACTCCTCTGGAAAGATGCAATATAATGTTCCTTTCCCCATTGGCCAGGAACCTAAGCTCCTTTTGGGGTTCCTTATTCCACACCCCAAGGTTCCTCCAAGGCCTTGTGGAAGGAAACTGAGGCAGGCTTAGCCAAGACAAAAGGAAGAGCTCTGGCTGCCCCCCAGGGTGGGGGGCCTGCCTCTTCCTCTGGCCATGGCAGCCCCCTTGGAAGAAAGGCAGGAGACCCGCAGCAGGGAGCAGCCAAGTCTGGTTCTTCTCCGCAATGGCTTCCTCTTCTGAGAGCTCCCTCTCTTTATTCTCTGGGCTGGACTGGGAGGACCCCAGTTGATCCAGTTCCCCTGATTCTCCCACTGGGCTCCAGTGCCCCCCTGAGACTTACAGGGATCTGGAGTGGAAGTGACTTCTCCTGTTGAACTACTGCCTGAGGGGGAAGAACAAGCGAGGGGCGTTCAGAAAGGGCTCCTGGGACTCCTGACGTCTGGCGAGGAGCAAGGCTGCTCTGTGGAGGCAAAGCCATCATGGCAGGAAGGCGGCTGAGGACGCCCCATGAGCGCTGGCCCCCGAAACTGCCGCCCTCCTTCAGCTGAGAGCGTGGGACCCCCGAAGTCCACAGGGAGCCATGACGTCTCTGGGAGCAGCGGGGCCTCCAGATGAAACAAAATGGCGTTCCCGCCTTTTTCGGAAAAGAGAGGGAAACGCCATCTCCTGGCCCTGCCGCCTCTGTGGGTTCCTGCTTGGCCATGGGGGGGGGGGGATGCAGCTGCCCCCAAGCTCTTCCCTTCCCCAGACATTGAGGGTGGGGAGGAACATTAAGAGGAGAAATGAAGGAGAAGCAGGGAGGGGGAGCAGCCAAGAGGGAAACTCAGGGGGGAAACTCCCTCAGGAAACCTGGCAAAGGAGAGGACAAGGCCCAGGGGAATCTGAAAGGGGATTGGCCAGCTCTCAAATGGAGAGGCTTCTGATTGGTCCTGCTCTGGGGTGAGAAATGGGGTCAAATGGTTCTGAGAGCCCAGTATAAACTGGTTTTCTGACAGGAAAGGCAGGGAAGGGATGGAGTTGGGAGGGGGGAAAGAGTTCCAGAGTGGGGGGGGGGCTGCCCCCTGAGCAGCATGTGCCCCTCTCCCTCCCTCCCCAATAGTGGGCTTCGCCTTTCCTGCCTGTGGTGCTTTTACGGGGGGGGGCTTCCACACCTCCCCCCCCCCAGGATGGCGTGTCTGTTTCATTCCTCGCATGGGACACTTCCTCATCTGTCTCTCTTCCTGGGCTGCAGAAGCAGGAAAGTCCGCTTGGCGGGGGGGGGAAGATTATTTTCGGAGGGGGAGGAATCTCCTGGCTGAGAAGCCCCCCCCCATTCTTCCCCCCCACTCGCTGATCGGGAGGGTGTTTTGTTTTTTTGAGGGGTGTCTTGATGGAGCCATTTTTTAGCCTCTTCTCCCTCCCAGCCTTTCCTTGGGATTCAGGAGCCTCCATGTTGGAGGAGGGGGAGAGCCAAGGTAACCCCCCCCCCATGGCGACCCCCGTCTCTCTTTCGGTTAGTCTGGATCATATGTGGGCTCCTTGGGGCAGAGTCCTTGGCACAGACGGGGGGGGGGCAGCCCCTTGAGCGCAGGCGCAGAAGCAGAAGCAGGAAAACTGCGGAAAGGGAGGGGGTGCCCTCGGCTTTGCAAGGGTTAAAAGGAGCAAAGCTGGATTCCTAGAGAGGACAGGAAGTGAAGGGGGCTCAAGGTCCTCCATGGCTAAATTCCCTCCCTCCCACATCCCTTCCTGCAAGCGGAGAGGAGGTGGCTTTCTTCTCTCTCCTTTGCAAAAGCTTCCTTGGGGCCCCTCCTGGAATCCGGTGAGTCTCCTCTCTCTTCCCCCCGAGAGTGCAATGGGGAGATTGGGGTCCCTGTTCAGATCATGCACGGTGGGGGGAGAAGAAAGAAGAAGAGGAGGAGTTTGGATTTGATATCCCACTTTATCACTCCCCTTCAGGAGTCTCAAAGCGGCTAACATTCTCCTTTCCCTTCCTTCCCCACAACAAACACTCTGTGGGGTGAGTGGGGCTGAGAGACTTCAAGAAGTGTGACTGGCCCAAGGTCACCCAGCAGCTGCAGGTGGAGGAGCGGAGACGCGAACCTGGTTCACCAGATTACGAGTCCACCGCTCTTTACCACTACACCACACTGGTCCTCCCTTGTCCTCTCTGCCAAGCCAGGGAGGGGGCCAGTTCGCAGGAGGTCTGCAGCTCTGTTCTTCCTTGGGATCCAGATGCTGCCTTCATTTTTGGGGAGGGGGCTTTGGGTAAAGGAAAACTGGGCATGCAAAGAAACCCCCTTCAGACTGAGGAGTAAGTCACTTTTGTGAACAGAGGCTGCAGCCAGACGGGAAGATTTGCACATGGGGGAGCACAGGGAGAAGAAAAGCCCTTCTGCATCTGCAGCAGGAAAACCAGACCACTTCCTCTGTCCCAGATGCAACGACACATGTCTCTCCCCTATTCAGGCTAAACAAGTAGACAAACTAATGTCAAAGCAAATTTCAGATGTATTTTCAGGAAATGCTAAAGCAAGGATAAATGACTCCTTCTCCCAACATCCTGGGACAAATGAGGAGCGATTATCAATAACTGGGTGCCTTGTGCTACTAACAGAGGACATGGAACACATAAAATCCTTCCCCCCCCCCCGACTGTGATAAAATCCTTACTATCCTGATAGGTACTTGTAAAACCTTCTGGGAGAAAATCTAGCAGAGGGTCTGTGGGTTTTGATAAACAAGAAATGGAAATTGGTGTTATCTCAAAATAGACTAGTTCTCTCAAGCTACCCTACACCTTTGGGAATCCTGTCAGAAGAGGAGTGCAAAGCTCACCTCAGGAGTTTTTTTAAAGGGTCTACATGCCTGGTGTCTTAAGAACAGAAGAGATTTAGGACATGTGGAAGATCTATATTTTGATGGCTTCCATGCCAGGGTGGGGGCCACATTTTGGGACTGGAGAATTGTGAAGATGGTGTATAAGCACAGACGATATCTAAGGAGGAGGGGTGTATTAGTTTCCTGATATTTCAAAAATGTGGCATCACCGGCTCCTCTGCTTCCACGTATAGATTTGGTCCCCATGCAACCCCTGACAGAGGTGGATACGGCTACACCATCTGCCTGGCTTGTGATGAAGAGCTCAAAGATTGTGAACAGGGCTCTCCATACAAAGCACCTAGCATGGGGGCACCTACATGTAATATCTACTCTGCTCTTTTCTGCCCATGCTCTGGGGTTTCAGTTTTCAGGCTTGGGGACAGGACAGTGACTGGTTTTTGCACCAACTTCTGTCAATTATCCCCACTGTGTTCAATGGGATCTACTCTGAGGTCACTACTGTGCAGACCATGCCAGCCTTACAAAGTGGAGTGAGGAGCAAACAGAGGAAATTGGAATCACTCGAGATGTTTAGAAATGGGGCTTCTGTTGGGAAGGGGCTGCCCCATTTGTGCTTCTCCAGGGCAGGGGAATATCTAGGCAGGAGAATCCCTGCAGGGCCTCTGAGGCTCCCTTTGCTTCTTCCTCTCTCCCAGGACCCTGCAGCTTCTTTTGGCTCCTTGACTCCTCAGGAAGGATCCTGCAAACCTAGTGAGGATGGAAGGAGGAAGATGGACGGTTGACCTGGTCAGGTTGTCTCCTGCATCCCTCCCCACAACCTCTGAGCGTTCCCTCCCAGGGACCTCCGAGAGATCTGGTGAGTCCCAAGGGAGTGGAGCTGGGGACGTGGATGGAAGGAGCCGGAGAGGTATCAGGGCTTGCTCAGTTTGGGGGTGGGGGGACGCAGGCAGGCGGATGGAGATGGAGAAGGGGAGCACTTTTTTGGGCTCCTCCACCTGCTTCCTGCCTGCGCCTTTGTAATCTGCAGGCATTTTGAGCTAGGAATACAGCTGAACCTCAGAAGTCGAACAGAATCCCTTCCTGAAGCCTCTTCGACTTCCGAGGCGCGACTTTTGATTGGCTCTTGCAATTGTTTTTTTTTTTTAAAGATATTTATTAAAATTTTCAAGAAATTACAAAGTAAAAAAAGAGAAGACAAAAATACAAAAAGAAAAATTACAAAGTAAAAAAGAAAAGACAAAAATACAAAAAAGAAAAATGCAAAGTAAAAATAGTTTAAAAAAAAAACAATTCTGTCATAACATATTTTTCATTTACTTATTTCCCGGACCTCCTCACGCCTTCCTTCTATGTATTCCAGTTCAAAGTATTATTTCAGCAAATCCCTCCCCATTTTATTCATCTTAATCTTCAATTTTTAAATATTATAAGAATAATTTTGTTTACCTATTAATACCCATTTTCTCATATTCCTTTATAGCATTACAGCTAAAGACCACTTAGTTTCAATCCAACATCATTCTAACATTCATTAATTTTACAGTATCTCCGTAAATAGTCTTTAAAGTTTTTCCAATCTTCTTCCACTGACTCTTCTCCCTGGTCTCGGATTCTGCCAGTCATTTCTGCCAGTTCCATATAGTCCATCACCTTCATCTGCCATTCTTCCAAGGTGGGTAGATCTTGTGTCTTCCAGTACTTTGCGATGAGTATTCTTGCTGCTGTTGTGGCATACATAAAGAAAGTTCTGTCCTTCTTTGGCACCAATTGGCTGACCATGCCCAGGAGAAAGGCCTCTGGTTTCTTCAGGAAGGTATATTTAAATACTTTTTCCATTTCATTATAAATCATCTCCCAGAAAGCCTTAATCCTTGGGCACGTCCACCAAAGGTGAAAGAATGTACCTTCAGTTTCCTTACATTTCCAACATTTATTATCGGGCAAATGATAGATTTTTGCAAGCTTGACTGGTGTCATGTACCACCTGTATATCATTTTCATAATATTCTCTCTTAGGGCATTACATGCCGTAAATTTCATACCTGTGGTCCACAACTGTTCCCAGTCAGCAAACATAATGTTATGTCCAACATCTTGTGCCCATTTAATCATAGCAGATTTCACCGTTTCATCCTGAGTATTCCATTTCAGCAGCAAGTTATACATCCTTGACAAAGTCTTAGTTTTAGGTTCTAACAGTTCTGTTTCTAATTTTGATTTCCCCCCAATGGAGTATAAATCATGAGCGACAGTGGGTTTTCTTTGGGAAAACAGGTTGCAAACAAACTTTTCAACAAGAAATTTTGGTTCTTATTCTTCCACAGAAATGGAACAAAGAGTGCTGTTGTTTTTTTCTATTAACTTGAATACGGTCTAAAGTTATAGGCTGTATGCTGTTTAGGTTTAAGGTTACTTCCTTTTACACATTTTCCATGGATCAGACTTCTGTACACAAATTTCTGGAACTGAATCCTAATCCTGCATCCTCCGTGTGTTGCCTTTTTCTTTCTTTTTGGAATAACTTTTTTTTGCTTTTAAAAACAAGGATCATAGGACCACTAAATGATGAAATATGTAGACCAGGGGTCAGCAATCTATGGCTCATGGGCCACAAGCGACTCATGGGGGTCATTTCAGCTGCCCCTGAGCCGTCCGTTCGGTGAGTCCTGTGTGTACACACGTGATCCTGCCCACAGAGCGATCTCCGTGAGAGTGAGCCAGCCCAGGCAAGGTAAAGCTTGCCGACCCCTGATGTAGACCGAGTCTTCTCATGCCATTTGTATATCTCAAAACTAGCAGAATCTATTTGCAGGAATATCTATAGCATACAATTCATCGTTAGTGGTCAGTGTGTGAGTTCTGGGTTCATGAAATGTTTTAAACTGGAACAAAAAATGAGGAAACAGGAGAGAACAGAGAGCATTCAACATTGCATAGCTGAATGCCTAGTCAGGAGCTCTTGCGGCTGTTGTGCTTAGATAAAGTGTGAGTTATAGTCACTTTTCCTCTTCTGTTACCAATGAAACAATACAGAGTTGGTTTCCTCATGAACACGGGAGGGGGGTTCAAACTGAAGAAAGTGATTTGCGTATAAATTTAAATTTAGACCAATCAGAGTGAGGCAACTGCTGATGGCGTGTAGGTTTCACAGACAAGGCATGGATCCTGTCCAAAGAGCTCTGCATAAGGAAGTAAAGGAGGAGAATCGTAGGATCATGGACCCTCTCAGTAAAACTCCCTGTTGGATCATAAAATCAGTTTTGAAATTCCATACATACCTCTGTCAGGGGTCGGCAACCTGCGGCCCATGGGGGTCATTTAAGTGGGCCACAAGCCACCCCCGAACCAAGCTGCCCGCTCAGCGAGTCCCCGCCTGCTGCACTAAACCAGTCCAGGGCGGGGACTCGCTTCCGTGGTGCCGGAAACCAGACGCAGACACATGAGCGATCCAGACCATGGCGGGATCTTCGCAGGGCTGAACCGACCCAGGCAAGGTAAACCTTCCTGAGCCCTGCTCTGTGTGATGAACCTTCGCTTTTTTGATGGAGATGAAAAGCTGAGCAGTTGGCTCCTTACTTCTCTCGCCCTGACCTAGCTACTGTGATCCACGCGACAGTCACCTCCAGGTTTGATTATTGTAACTCACTCTACGTGGGGATGCCCTTGAGACTGACCCAGAAACTCCAGCAGGTACAGAATGCCGTGACAGGACTCTGTGGTGGGTCTGGAAGCCTTTCGCAAGAAATACCTCTGCTCACTCAGAGATATATTTACAGTCTTTATTTACATACATATTTACACGGTACAGGACATAGCTTCATGCATTTGAATCCTCGGTAGGAGATCCAGGCAGTGGGAGCTTTTGGCTCCTCCTCCAGCAGAGGAGCTTGGGAAGCCCCAAGCGCCTCCTTTGTTCCCTACATTTTAACCCCCTTCTGTCCTGTGCTGAAGGAATGGGCATTGACTCTCTCTCTGTCCTCCCTCTGAACTGGTCGAGTGGTGTTGATGGTCTCCAGCATCCGGAGGCATCCTCGCCGCTTGAGTTCCTTCCGCTTACTTGTCCTCCTCTCCCTCTCCTGTCTTTTCTAACGGCTCTTGTTCTTCCCCCTCCCTCAGCTCTGGGGCATTCCCTGGCAGCCCCGTGACAGACTCCTTACGGGGTCCTCACAGCAGGATCACATTCACCCAGTGCTATACCAGCTGCACTAGCTCCCGCTGGAGTACAGGGTCAGGTTTAAGGGGCGGGTTTTAACCTTTAAAGCCCTATACAGCCTAGGACCCTCGTACCTATGAGACCGCCTCTCCTGGTATGTCCCACGGAGGACCTTACGGTCTTCAAACAAAAACATATTGGAGGTCCCGGGCCACAGGGAGGTTAGGCTGGCCTCAACCAGAGCCAGGGCTTTTTTAGCAGTGGCTCCAATCTGGTGGAACGCTCTGTCACAAGAGACTAGGGCCCTGCGGGACTTGACATCTTTCCTCAGGGCCTGCAAGACAGAGCTGTTCCACCAGGCCTTTGGCCAGGGCACAGTCTGACCCCCTCTCTCCTTCTGTAATCTTCATAGAACTCTAACCTGGTGGTTGCTATTAATATGATTCTGAATTAATTCTAAAATGTATTTTAATTAATTGACTGTGTGATTTTATGATTTTTTTACCTGTTGTTAGCCGCTCTGACCGTGGCTTTGGTCGGGAAGGGCGGGATACAAATAAAAATTTATCATCATCATCATCATCATCATCATCTGGGATTCCAAGATCCTCACCGTGAATCCTGAATGGAGGGATATCAACTGTTTTCTCTGTGAATATTCTTCATTTCGTCAAGCTTTTTAAAGCAATGACCAGGCTTTTTTGAACTACCCAGGCCTTTTTAAATGTCATCTTCAGATTTTTTAGGGTAGTTGAAGTAAGTTCTGTCAGGTTTGTTGTTTTTGTTTTTTCTTTTGTCTGCATTTTATTGACCAAAGAGATGACTGACCTTGGAGATGAAGATAATTCCATGACTGAGCCAAACATTATCTATCCTAGATAAAAGCCAAGTAATATATCAGTAAATATCAGCCAACAAAGGTAGTAAAAATAATAGTAAGGCCTCATAACTAATTATTTTCAGTTCTTCCTTTATCACAAGTGTAGTGGGTATGAGTTACTCGTGCGTAAACTGGTGCCTCTCTAGGCTAATTTGCCTTGTAAAACCTTTCTGACTGCACAGCCCCTTCTCATCGTGGCTGCCTCAATCGCTGCCAGAATCCGTCAGTGGGCATTTCTTGAACCTCTTCCAACATAAAAGTTGTTTGACACCCAGTCTCCTCCTCCTCTCACTGCGCGGGAGCCTCCTGCGCAGGGAGGGCATGGGCAGCGGAGGACCTGGGCTCTCTTCACTGACGTCCAGTGAAGAATCATGGAGCCCTCTCTCCGATTCCCCCATCTGCCCCGCTCTATCCCTGGTGTTGCGCTGATTAGCTTCCCCCTCTACTGGGCTGTTTCTCCCCCTGCTGCTGGGTCCTTCTCCCGCATCATCAGAGAGCCTCCCCTTCGCCTCTCGCTCTGATGTCAGTTCCCTGACAACAAGCATTCATTAACATTCTTAATTACTGGCCTCAACAACATCAAAAATACCATCTCAGGACTACAGTGGTGCCTCGCAAGACGAAAAGAATCCGTTCTGTGATTCTCTTCGTCTAGCGGTTTTTTTTGTCTTGCGAAGCAAGCCCATTGAAGGCTTAGCGGATTAGCGCTATTAGCGGCTTTTAGTGGTTTTACCGGTTTATCTGCTGATCGGATCAACTGATAAACAGCTTAGCGGCTTAGAAAAGGGGGGGAGGAAAAAAACCCAGCAGGAACTCGCAAGACATTGTCGTCTTGCGAAGCAAGCCCATAGGAAATTCGTTTTGCGAAGCACCTCCAAAACGGAAAACTCTTTCGTCTAGCGAGTTTTCTGTCTTGCGAGGCATCCGTCTTGCGGGGCACCACTGTATTTAATTGCTCATCTTCTAACATTATGTATGCCATCAAATGCCAACAGTGCCCTTCAGCTCTCTATATTGGACAAACAGGCCAAGCCCTACGCCAAAGGATAAATGGACATAAATCTGTTATCAGGAATCACAAGACAGAGAAACCAGTAGGAGAACACCTCAGTCTCCCAGGACATTCTAAACAAGATCTCAAAGTAGCTGTCTTATTACAAAAGAATTTTAGAAATAGACTGCAAAAAGAAGTTGCTGAATTACAACTAATTACCAAACTTAAAACCCTGGAGAGACCTGGTCTGAATAGAGACATTGGATTCTTATCTCATTATACATGGTATATGTAGCTATTTTTAGCCATCTCACCCCTTGCTTTTTCCTGTAAGACCAATTGCAGTCTTTAACAGTCTTCAACAGATATACCACACCTATCAGCCAATCACCCATTCCCACCACCCTTCTGAGTAATACCTCTCCCCACCCTCTCACTATATATAAGGGTCTGTTGACTTCGGTGTCAGTGTATCTGAAGAAGTGTGCATGCGCACGAAAGGGCATACCAATAACAAACTTAGGTGATCTCTAAGGTGCTACTGGAAGGAATTTTTTAATTCATTAACATCGTTCAATAATCTGGGGAATAATCTTCGTGAGGCTCTAATTAGCTTCTCTCTTCATTGCAGATGGTGATGAATTGGAAGGGAAGAACAAAGGGGACCACAACAGAATCCACATAGCGGAGGAACCAAATCAATATTCAGGGTATGGAGAGAACATCTGTCAGAGCTCCCAGTCCACCTCCCATCAAGGAAACAGCTTCATCCAGAGGGATAGCCTTACGTCACACGAAAGAACTCACAGTGGAGAGAAATTGTATCAGTGCTTGGAATGTGGAAAGAGCTTCAGTCGGAAGGATTCTCTCATTTCCCATCAAAGAATTCATACAGGAGAGAAACCCTATCAGTGTTTGCAGTGTGGAAAGTGCTTCAGTCAGAGGAGCAATCTGACAACCCATCAAAGGATTCATACAGGGGAGACACCCTATAAGTGCTTGGAATGTGGAAAGAGATTCAGAAAGAGCTCAGAGCTCACTTCCCATCACAGAATTCATACAGGGGAGAAACCCTATCAGTGCTTGGAATGTGGTAAGAGATTCAGACTGAGCTCAGAGCTCACTTCCCACCAAAGAATTCATACAGGGGAGAAGCCTTATCAGTGCTTGGAATGTGGAAAGAGATTCAGTCAGAGCCACAGCCTCACTTCCCATCTAATAAGTCATACAGGGGAGAAACCCTATCAGTGCCTGGAATGTGGAAAGAGCTTCAGACAGAGGAACGGTCTCACTTACCATCAAAGAATTCATACAGGGGAGAAACCCTATCAGTGCTTGGAATGTGGAAAGAGCTTCAGTAACCGCCAAATTCTCACTTCCCATCAAAGAATTCATACAGGGGAGAAACCCTATCAGTGCTTGGAATGCGGAAAGAGCTTCAATTGTAGGACTAGTCTTACTTCCCATCAAAGAATTCATACAGGGGAGAAACCCTATCAGTGCTTCGAATGTGGAAAGAGCTTTCGTCAGAGTTGTGATCTCAATTCCCATCAAAGAATTCATACAGGGGAGAAACCATATAAATGCTTCCAGTGTGGAAAGAGCTTCAGTCACAGCCATGAACTCACCATCCATCAAAGGATGCATACAGGTGAGAAACCCTATCAGTGCCAGGAATGTGGAAAGAGCTTTCGTGAGACGGGAAAACTTGCTGCTCATCGAAGAATTCATACAGGGGAGAAACCCTATCAATGCTTGGAATGTGGAAAGAGCTTCATCCAAAGGGCCCATCTCCTGAGCCATCAAAAAACTCATACAGGTCAGAAACCCTATCAATGCTTGGAATGTGGAAAGAGCTTTCGTGATAAGGGTAAACTCACTTCCCATCAAAGAATTCATACTGGGGAGAAACCCTATCAATGCTTGGAATGTAGAAAGAGCTTCAGTCGGAGGGATAGTCTTACTTCCCATCAAAGAATTCATAAAGGGGAGAAACCCTATCAGTGCTTGGAATGTGGAAAGAGCTTCAGATGGAAGATTAGTTTCACCTTCCATCAAAATATTCATACAGGGGAGAATCCCTATCAATGCTTGGAATGTAGAAAGAGCTTCAGTCGGAAGGATGCTCTCACTTCCCATCAAAGAATTCATAAGGGGGAGAAACCCTATCAATGCTTGGAATGTGGAAAGAGCTTCATTCGGAAGGATTATCTCACTTCCCATCAAAGAATTCATGAATAGGAGAAACCCTAATAGTGCTTAGAATGTTTAAAGAACTAATAATAATAACAACAACAGATACAGGTAGGTAGCTGTGTTGGTCTGCCATAATCAAAACAAAATTAAAAAAATTCTTAACGCTGGGCAGCTCCCAACAGACTATTGAAAACATGATAAAAAATCAAGTATTGTTGTTGTTTAGTCGTTTAGTCGTGTCCGACTCTTCATGACCCCAAACTCATGTTGGTAGCTTCAAGAACACTGTCCAACCATCTCGTCCTCTGCCGTGCCCTTCTCCTTGCGCCCTCCATCTTTCCCAACATCAGGGTCTTTTCCAGGGAGTCTTCTCATGAGGTGGCCAAAGTCTTGGAGCCTCAGCTTCAGGATGTGTCCTTCCAGTGAGCACTCAGGGCTGATTTCCTTCAGAATGGAGACGTTTGATCTTCTTGCAGTCCATGCGACTCTCAAAAGAGAGGTAGAGCTGGGTATTATCGGCATACTGATGAACACCCTGCCCTAATCCCCTGATGATCTCTCCCAGTGACTTCATATAGATGTTGAAAAGCATGGGGGAGAGGATGGAACCCTGAGGCACCCCACAAGTGAGAACCAAGGATCCCAACACCACTTTCTGGACACGGCCCAGGAGGACGGAGCGGAACTACTGTATAACATTGCTCCCAGCTCCTCTACGTGGTTGAGAAGCATGTGATGGTCATTTAAAATGATGTTTATTGTGAATTCTAAAAAAACAACAAAAAACAACAACAAAAAAACAAAAAGAAGGAAAAAACAAGAAACAAATAGCAATTAGTTATATTTTCCAGGTCGCCTTCAAAGGTAGCCCCACGCAAAGCACATTGCAGTAGTCCAAGCGGGAGATAACCAGAGCATGCACCAATCTGGCGAGACAGTCTGCGGGCAGGTAGGGTCTCAGCCTGCATACCAGATGGAGCTGGTAAACAGTTGCCCTGGGCACAGAATGGATCTGCATCCCCATGTACAGCTGTGAGTCCAAAATGACTCCCAGGCTGTGCACCTTAAAAGCATGGGGGAGAGGATGGTAGGCTTGGCACTGAGCTGTAAACCGTGTCTGGTCCGATTCAGAATGAGTTTTACACCACTAGTGCTCTAGAGGTCTCAGCCATTCTTACATTGCCCTCAGCTCTGAGGAAAACCACAGGGCTGTCCGGGCTCCATTCAATCAGGGCGCTTCAGAGCCAGACAGTCAACAGCCGTGGTTATCTCCACATTCCAGTGGGCCACCAGGGAATCAGCTGAAAGGGTTGCTGTGCGTAAGAGAAACCCGATGGACAAGCAGCGGCAAGGACATGTCCAGAGACCAACCAAGTCTCTGTCATGGATGCCAAGTCAATTCCTCCATCCACAATCAAGTTGTGGATGACCGCTGCCTTGTGAAGCCTGTGCCTGCCGACTTTTTACGTTACAGAACCAGCTGCTTTTAGGTCCTGTACATAGCAAATGTCAGTTCTGGAATTCTGAAAAGAATAAAGTGTTGGACTCTATGGGGACTGTTGAATGTTATATGTAATCACATGATATATTATGAGGAGGGCTGATCTGAAGAGCCAAATGATTTTGGTTGGTTGGTTGATTATTGTGACATTGGGTTGCAACGATTAAGATTGCTGTGATTCTGTGATTGGTTAATAGGAATGACATGTGCAATTTGGAAGTGTATTTTTTAAAAAAACATTGTTTTGGATGTGGTTCTTTGCATGCACATTTGTATTTCAATAAAGGCCTATCTTTTCACTTGGAGACTGCACCCTTTTCTTTTGGGTTTTTATGTGTGGGTAATATCTTTGAATTTCTCCTACATATACATGACTGGATTTTAAAAACAAGTAAATCTGAATGTGATTTATAATGAGCCTGAAACACTAACATTATTGGTAGAAACAATTCTTTAAAACAATCAAAAAATGAATCAGAAATAATTTTTAAAACAGACTTTTTTCTTACCCTGAAGTTCGGTTTACAGAGACAGGCAGGGTCTTCAACTTGCAGTGTCCTCTGCAGAGGGGGGAATCATGCCTCCTAACGCCTCCACCTTAAACAGGTGTCTGTATGCCAGCCACATCACCAGAGGAGTCCTGGAAAGGCAAGACACTCGTACACAAAGCAGGTGGCTAAACAGCAACGCCAAAGGTAGTGCCCCATAAGTTGCTCCCCATGTCAATGTATAAACCAGCAGCTGCCTCCACTGGAGGCAACAAATGCTGCAATGCACTGAAGCGGAGGAAGATAGAGGAGGGTGGAATGTCGTCCCCCATCTGTAAACTGAAATTCATGGTAAGAAAAAATTATGTTTTTACTAGATGGAGGGGGGGGGCATTCCTGATAGGGATCTACCAGAACAGTATCCCAGCATTGGGGAGGGCTTCCTCTGCCTCCAGATCCCTGTGGAACTCCTCTCTGCAGCATCCGAAGAAGTTTGTACCTACGGGACCGCCTCTCCCGGTCTGCCCCACGGAGCGCCTCAAGGTCCATAAATAACAACACCCTAGTGATCCTGGGCCCTAAGGAAGTTAGATTGGCTTCAACCAGAGCCAGGGCCTTTTCAACTCTGGCTCCGGCCTGGTGGAACGCTCTGTCTCATGAGACCAGGGCCCTGCAGGATCTGATTTCTTTCCGCAGGGCCTGTAAGACAGAGTTGTTCCACCTGGCCTTTGGCTTGGAGCCAATTTGATTCCCTCCCTCTCTTTCTTTTTTTCCTTTTCTTTCTCCTCCTGTGATGAGGCTCCATTTTAATATTTTAATGTTTCAATATTTTAATGTATTTTAATCTTGTTTTTAAGTTGTATTCATTCAACTTGTTTTTATTGTTACTTGTTAGCCGCCCTGAGCCCGGCCTTGGCTGGGGAAGGCGGGGTATAAATAAAAATTATTATTATTATTATTATTATTATTGGAAAACCTTCCTTAGGGGGAAGCGGGGCAGACTGATGCAGAAAAATTCAATCTCGTATTTTATGTAACAAAAACGAGTCAAATAATAATTTTTTTTGCTTTATGCATGACATAACTAATCAATATTATAATAGCAATCAAAAGAACAATTATAGTTAGAAGATAATGAGAATATGACGACTTGAGTAAAAAATGGGTTTTGTATCATTCTGCCCCACCTACAGAGAACTTTGATACATTGGATGTGGCACTTTGATACTTTGATACAAAGTGTAAATTTTATGAGAATGTTAAGTATTTACAAAAATTTAATGAAAAAACTTTTTATTGTGAGAGATCATATTGTGAGAGCCTTACAATTGGTTACTTAAAAACTAAATAACGTATCAAAACTAACAGTGTTTCACATATATCATAGACTTTACGGCAGGTTTTCTTAACAAAGCATCAAAACATATTAATCTTTCCTCAAACACATCCATTTAAGAAAGAACTTTGGAGAAACTTTAGAAAGTATAAGAACTCACATTAGGTAGTCAAAAATAGTAATTTAAACAAAAGGCTTATAACAAATAAGATAATTACTGAACGTTTAGCTTCTATTGTACATTATATCCACTGAAGTCAATAGAAAAAGTATACAGTGGTACCTCGGGTTACATATGCATCAGGTTACAGACGCTTCAGAGTACAGAATCCGCTAACCCAGAAATAGTACCTCAGATTAAGAACTTTGCTTCAGGATGAGAACAGAAATCATGCTCCGGCGGCGCAGCAGCAGCAGGAGGCCCCATTAGCTAAAGTGGTGCTTCAGGTTAAGAACAGTTTCAGGTTAAGAACGGACCTCCAGAATGAATTAAGTTCTTAACCCGATGTACCACTGTAAAGAGATGAAGGATAAAGAGATGAGCCCTTTGATAAATTTGGTTTTGGCAACTGCAAAACAACATACAAGATCCTGGTTTTCCTCCTGAGATATGACACTTGAAAATCAGTTGTATTATATTTAGAAATGATTTTGGCCATGTAGTAAACAACAGTATTTTTCTTTTCAAATATAATGAGTAGGAAATCTCCAACAATTTTATTTTCAGGATTGGGAACATCAAAAATTGTACACCAGCAGGGCACTTCTATACGTATCAATGTGCCCCATGTCTTAGTGTATCAAAGTGCCCGAAACAGACATTTTCAAAAAATTAACACTTATTAATAAAACCACTGAATTTATTTAAAAATCACATGTAATCCTGATAACTAGGTGGAATAACTTACCTTTGGTCTTTTTAAATCTTAACAATTTAAAACAGCGTTGGAACACTTTTACATTTCTCATAATTTTTCATTTGGCTGCACTATAAACACACCTACTCTTGTCAAACGCCAACAGCTAACTGGTGGGCAGCGTAGTCACAACTGTTGTACTCACACACCTATAGACATGTTTCTCGAAATTGGAATATTGTTGGTGTATCAATGTGCCCCTTACATCAATGTGCCCCACCTCCCCCTACATGCCAGAGAGGCTGCTTCCCTGGGCAAGGAAGGAGCAGGAATCCCTAAAGGGGAGGATCTGTATGTGATCCCATCTCTAGAGCTCACATAAACACCAGAGGGAAGGTGGCCGGGGCGTAAAAGGCAAAAGCATTGGCCTCAGGGACGCTTCTCCCCGTTCGCCCCATAGAGACCTGGGACCCCTTCTCCAGGAGGGACCTCCAAGGAGGAGGAAGCCAGGGCGGATCAGTCCCTGGACCTTGGAGG